CGATTTGTACCAGGTTTTTTTTGAAGTTTTCTCCAAAAGCAAACATTATCATCAGATTTAGTGTGATTAAGTATGTTCCATGCGATTTTAAGCCTATTCTGAGTCGCCATGTACCAGTCCTAAGGCCCTAATAAAATTCGATACCACGTCTGAACGTCTAAATATCAAGATCTCGCTTAACTTTCATTTTGAAAAGAGTTAAACGGCATCACACTCTGGTCTATCTATCCATGCAAAAAATGAAACTACCCTTAGTTGAAGTTTTAGAGGCATGACCTGTTTTTCCAAAGATATCCTAGAAAATCTACTTTCAAAATCTTTTACTTTTAAGAAGAATTTGAAATTCGTTTTGTTTATCAAAAGAGGACACTCGGTTTCCCCTCACGAACGGCGAAAACGACAACTCCCTCTCTATCTTCATTCAGAAGTTATTAAAAAAGTTGTATTAACGCCGTGTTCTGAAAAAGATACTAGTAGTTGATATGGTCGCGAACCGCCGTTGCTCTCGCTACCCACAATTTTTTTCGAAAAAAAGTTTTTATTGACTAACTTTAAATGAACCAAATTCCGACATCATGCGTTCAAGCAAGTGTTTGTTGTCAGGAAATTCCTCTGTATTCTCTCGAACACCATATGTAATTGAATTTGATTGATGTTGTTAGTCACTCACTGATGGCAATGTGGAAAATCATGCGTATTTTCTTATAATCCTTTTTACTCTTGACATTTATTATGGAAAGTCATGTTCATCAGAAGTGTGGAAGGCGGAAGTTTACTCCGCCTTGCGGTTATCGCTACCGCTGAAGGGTATTCACAAGTTAGACTTGATAGAGAAAAATATTAGATGTTGATGCACAAAGTACCCTAAAACTCTTTTCATTCTTATCTGATCTATTTTTTTTTCTTTAAATTCTTTGTAATGTTGAAAAAGAACTAAACCAGTTGCAATTATTAGAGATATTCTCTCTCGCTCTCGATTCTAACATAAAAGTATAATTGAAAACTGAACAAGACTAGAGGAAAAACAGAAGAAGAGAAAATGAAGGATCATAATGAATATTTTTTTCTCTTTCTCTCTCCCCGAGAAAACATCTTCCTAAGACTATATTTATAGATTTATTTCAATGATCAAATGAAAAAATACCAGTTATTCTGACGAATATTTAATTGTTGTAGTAGAAAAGGATAAAAAGAGCAATGAATGCTCTCGTTTATATGTCAGAGAAAACCTTGAATTTTTTTTCTACTAAAAATAAGAATATCATGTAGATTACAATATATTGTCGTCGATACTTGAAGAGAACTTTTTCCAATTCATGTTCAGTCATAGTAAAGAGAAAAGAAAAAATATATATAGTAGTCGTGTAAAAACTTATGGAAAAAACAAGTTTAAAGAAAAGACAAAGATAAAATGCTACAAGAAGTCGGTATTTATATAAAAAAAAACAACGTAAGAAAACGGCAGTATAGAAAAAGAAAATGTTAGGTAGAGAAAATAGAGAGCAGTTATGGTCTATAAAAGTGTAAAATAAGGCTACTAATTGAAGAAAAAAAATAATAATAATAACTATACGATAGGCAAGGAAGAATGAACAATCCAGTTCTCATGCTTTTTAGACGACATCTAGAATAGAAAGAAAACATACCATTATTTCAAAATCATGCACATTATAGAAAATACGTCATTGTATTTGTAATCTTGATCATTCGTTAGGATTATCTTTAAATCATTTATAAACAATGGAAAATGTGAAGGAAAATACAACAACAACAACAACAACAACTACAATGACTCCAAGTGCAAATGCCGACTTAAAATGTATCATTGTACAACAAAGTTTTACCGGGAACAGACAATTAAAAGTAACATCTATACCAAAATTGGCACCACCAGCCGAAGGTGAAGTACTCATTAACGTCAAAGCTTGGTATGTAAGTTCTAAAAATGCTACCATCTTTTCAATTTCTCTATGTGTTTAGTGGTGTGAATTTTCATGATGTACTAGTACGATATGGCGTGTATGAAGAAACACCAAAACCACCATTTGTACCAGGTCAGTATACAGTTTAAAAAAGATGCAATGAGCACAATGGAGAATATAAGACAGAAAAAATTAGCAATATTTGAATATAACATATTTTTATCTTCTAGGTATGGAGTGTTCTGGAGAAGTGTTAGATATTGGTTCAAATGTAACAAACGTAAATGTAGGTAACATAAACAAACTTTTAATTTCTCTTTAAATCATGTGAATGAATAAAATCTTCTTT